CAGGGTCTTCAAAGTTTGTGAGTAGAGCCATTATTTGAAATGGTCCTAGTAATTGAAAACTATAGTATCAGCTGATTAGAAACTAATGCCGTAAATGAAGGGACTAGAATCCATTTGACTAACCCCCACCCCACTCTAACCTGACTGTCTGGTGTTCAATTATCTGAGTAATAGACCTTTAAAACTGTTTTTGAGTGGTATGAGTTGATTTTGACAGGGCAATTATGCTTTGCTCTTGATTTTCTTTCTTTCTTTGACACTAGCAAGGTCTTGTTCAACAAACTGGATCAAAACTCTTGTCCTCTTTACTCAATTGCTTTAACTATTGAGGAAACAATTAATGTAATAAATGGACATTGACTACCCGCCACACTAAAGGGATTGTGTTAGGGTACGAGAGTTGGAAGAATGTGTGATAAGTAGTACTACAATCTAGTGAGTAGAAGCAAGGGTGCCAAAGTCAGAAACCCACAACTTAAATTCCATCTTTCCTTCCTACCAGCTGTGTGGCCTTGACAATTTCCGACATCTCTCGAAGTCAGAGTTGTCTTTTTTGTAAAAAGAGTTTAATAACAGTAACTGCCTCCCAGGATTGTTTTGACAATAAGATAAAATCACTTAATTCACTATTTGGATTAGAGTTAAGTGATCGACAGATATAACTAGTTAGCTAGTATATAGCTAGTTAGCTAGTTTATAATTCAAAATCTTCAAAGAAGATGAAAGTGTAGAAGAATTGATAGGAAGCCAAGAAATAGAACCAAGAAGACGTTGGAAAGTGGCACAATGCATGAACCGTAAAAATTCAGCAAATGGAGAGGCCAGTCCTGGATAAGCGTTTTTCTTCTTCATATTCTTCACCAGGCACAGCTGAGCTGCTGCAATTCCCATCTCAAAACTTTGTACAGAGAGCAGAGTTTGGATTCATAATCAAACAGCTAGCTGGTTCTTTAGGAACTTGGAGAAATATTTTATCTTGGTTCATCCAAGATAAGTGATTCTTACAGTAAGCAGATTATTAACTTTCATCATTCGAAAAGACATTCTACTATCTTAAGAATACTTCACTTAATAAGCACAACATGAAAATTACACTGCTTGTGTGGGTTGGGGGAGGCAATGAGAATCAGTTAGCTTCTTGATTAATTTTCTCTATAGATGTTTGCCCTCTCAAATACTCACTTCCTCATCTTCAACTTCCATAACCAACAAGAAGATCTAGGGCAACAAAAACCTGCAAATACAGGTTTCTACTTTGTCATTTCATTCATTTCCAAAATATTGGATCTGTAACAAAGTATTCAAATAAGATTTAAATAACGTCAGCCACAATCACACCAATTTATAATCTCTAATCAATTTACATTCTGATTTTTCATAATTGTGCTACATCAAGAGAAATGTTTCCTTGACAGAATATTAATGAATTATCCTCAGACTGCAAATAGTATTCAAAACTGTTGTATTTTGGTAGAAACACTATTAAATTTTCTTATAGATTTATAAGATCCAGACATTTTAAAACTTACAACTCCTCAATCTTAGCAGAGTGCATTTTTTTATTTGCTAGGAGGCATTTGTCCATTCCTAACCTTTTTATCTTCAGAAAATAAATGACACGTGACTTGAAAATCAAATTAATCTTGACTGAAAAAGGAATAATAAAAATAGCTAATGTCTTTATGATCTCTATGGCAAGCCTACAGGGCAGATACTGTTGCTGTTTCTGTTTTGTAAGATGCATTATATCTTGCTAATCCTCATAAATATGAAAAATTGATCATTTCACAGCTGAGAATTGACAAACCGGAACACATTTCGCATTTGAATAGACGAGATAAGCAGGTTGCCACCAGCGCTGCCATCTCTGCCTCTGGGTGTGTTGTATCCCAGGCAGACACTGTTAGTTCATTCCTAGGTCACTGCTATCACATTTCTATTTGTCTATTCCTGGACCAGAGCTCAGATTCACATTCCAAACAGCCTCCAGTCTTAAAGACCATTCTGCTTCCCAACTTCAGTGTCATAATTTAAAGAAATGGATACCTCCAATTAAACCATTCCAGGTGTAAATTTCTTGCCTGGAGAGCGAATTGAGAAATGAATGGGATTCATGAATATAAATTGGGCTTTCCTTGTATTTAAGTTTTCATTTTGAAATTGTAGACCATTATTCGCTCCCCACATAAATCTTTATTGCCTTAAGTGTGTTTACCGTGGGAACCCCAGTGCAGAGCTGGGAGCCCATTGCTATGCATAACTGAATATTAAAGTTCACAAATCATCCAGCAGAGGAGGCCTGGGGAGGGAGATGCTGCAGTGTGACTGCCTCCGTGCTCTCAGCAGAGATGAATTGTGCTCTCACAGGCTCTGCGCCTTTATTGGGATGAGAACACCCAACCTCTTCACTCTTTCTCTCCTTGAATATTGTTTAATGTGTGCTTCCTCTTCCTTCCAAGATATTTTGTTTTCTGTATGTCTTAACATCTCTGTTATCATAAGACTTATATTCCCTTCACCTCAATCTTGGTTTAGAGCTGGTGTAATAAATAAATCTCTCGTAGGCCACCTCAATTTATTTTTTAGCAGACTCTGTGAAACAGAGTGATTTTGAAGATGACTCTGTGAAAGGATGGAAGGATTCAATAAGCAAATACATAAATAATCTTCAGACACAAGGCTACTGCACCTCTCCTGCCCTCCTCTCTCCCCTCCTTTCATCTCTTCTTTCTGTTTACATAGTAGCTGTGTGTAATCTGCAAAAGGTCCATTGAGGCCAACTGGGCTTTCACCATAGGACCAAATATAAGTCAAAATTTTAAAAGATATTCCTCTTATTTTCAACCTGTGCTCTGAATCTTCAGCCAGAAATAAGACTCTATTATATTCACCATTACCTGGACTTGAGAATGTGTTCACATTGCCTGCTCTTTGCTATAGAACTAAATGGTAAGGAAGACTTGCTCATAAGTTTTCTACAATCATACCAAGTTATTTTCTTACATATATAATAATTCTTGCTACAATGCATTTGATGTGGCTAGGAATAATGTCATCATAAAATAGTAAAATAGCAACAGAATTTTTCAGGGCAAATGTGTGTGTGAATTAGAGTGGAAGGTCTAGACAATGAGACATAATAGAAAATAACTTTTTGCAATTAATGTTAAAGGAAATTTTTCCCAAGTGCCTGTGCATATGAGGCATTCGGGAGGTAGTGAGGATGGTGACATGGCCTTAAACACACTTGTTGTAGAAATCACCCCAAGTCCCGAGTCTGATGGTTTTTCCATATTGTATAAACTGTAAACACTTTAGGTATGCAGCCCTCCAAGCTGATGTTATTAGTTTTAGATAGACCTGTAGAACATATTAAAGGAAGGCTGTGACTGTGATTAGTGGGCACAATGTAGCTAGAAGGATGGTGGTCAGTACTCTTAATTATATTCTTAACATGTGGTGTCTCTACAAGAATTTAAAACAACTCAATAAGTTGAAACCACTACGAAAATGAAGTGGGGTGAGTAATGTGAATGTATAACAATGGGACACGTAAAGGTCAAAGGGTGACTTTCTAAATTATACCCTTGATCCACCCACCAATCGCAGGCACAGCTCAGGAATCCCAACTTGGCTTTTCCCCCAGTTCGCTCTCTCATGTGGTCCAGGCTGACTACACCTTGTTTCCATCTCGTTTGATAAATTGAGCTGACCTCCTAACTCAGGGACTATTTGCAAGCCGTTTCCCCAATATTTCTAAGATGAGTGAAGATACTTTTTTGTATGGCAAAGGAGAGCAAAGTATTGTCCTCTGTCAAGACTATAATTTTACTCTTCCTCAATATAAAGTTAAAACTCTCACATGCACTCAAAATATAGATTATTAACAATGCATATTGATTAGGAAATTTGACCCTTTGTTTCAATTTTTAAAATCCGATTGTAAAACTTAGTTTGGTGTTTGGGTTAAGAAAATCTGGGATTTTAAAGATTCTCTCTCAGAGAATTGTATCAAGACAGCAGTTCCACTTATTCTCAGGCACTCACTAATGGTGAGTAACAGGAGCTCTGAAAGGACCTTGTTTTACAGCGTGAAGTGAATCTTTCATTTCTCTACCACCGTGGCATTTCACCTAAATCATAACTTTCTTCCCAATATTTATAAGAACAATTCACAGCCTTCCTTTAAGAATGCATTTTAAACCACTTGTTGTGATGAGAATTAAAATAATTAGAACCAATAAATTTTGGTCCCCTTAAAAAAGAAAGAAAAGAAACCCAACCAACTGACCCACCCAGAAGGACACAAGCAGATAAATGTTTTAAATATTGTATTTTGTATTATCTGTTATATGTACATGGTCACTTATGGGAGTGTTTTGCCAGAACATTCTCTTGGGAGCTAGTGATGAATCAGAATAAAAGCATGCCATATTCTTCACTTGCTGTTGCCTTTCATCTAAGGCAATGGACGTTGAGTTAGTCAGGGTAGTGAATCGTTTTGTTCACTAGGACATCGATAGAATACATCCAAAGTTAATGGAGTGTTTGGTGGTCTCTGGGTGAAATGAGGTTGTGCAGAAAGGTGAGGTAGTAAGAGAATGAGTCAATGTAATTAAAAAATAAACTTGATGATCTGTGAATTTTCCAAATATCATCAAAACCAAAGCAAAAGACAAATATGAAAGGTATAATTTATAGCTATCAACCTTTGTCAATAAAGGTTCCTATTTTTGTGTCATGAATTTACCATTGTCAAAACCTGTTCATTAGATCATTCTGCACAAGGATGGAAATATCAGTGAATTTTTTGGAGCCATACTCGTGTCCACCCTTAGAAGCAGAAAATGCATACTTAGGAAATAAGCATCTGGATAACATTCGTGATATGGAGATTGAAATATCTGAACGTTGCCTTGTGAACAAGTGCTCTGACCCCATGAAATATCACTTGTGTTCTTCCTGGCACAACCAGTTCAAAAAGTGTTTTTTCTTTGCAGGTTATCAGCCGGTCTTGTCTGCTCAACAGGGGTTCCAAGGCCTACTGGGAGTGCAGCAGCCGCCTCAGAGTCAGAGCGTGATGAACAACCAACCAGGAACTCCGGTGCAAAGCGTGATGGTCTCCTACCCAACAATGTCTTCTTATCAGGTGCACATCAGCAGCTTGAAAAATTATGGGTCATAAAGTAGCACTTGCCAAAGTAGAGGCTATGACTAGGTCCCCGTATTTGGTGATTGGCTGGGTGGTGGGTGCTAGGCATAGCCGCTGTTGATGCTTGACTTTGAATCAAGATTATAATAGACAAGCAGAAAATAGAAATGTATGCTTCTATAACTACTATGGCTTTTGAATGTCCTGCTAAGTGTGGTCCTGTATAAACTTTCTGTTCATGGAAGAAAATTCCTTCAAGTTCTATTCATGATGACCTTTGGGCATTCTACTGAAATTTTGCTTATTGGGAGAAAGCTGTCTTGATAAATTCCCATTTATTTTTGTACACACCCAAAAAAACTTTATTTTACCATAATTTTAAGTTATAAGAGATTCTAGAATGGCATCTCTGATTCATTCAAAGGGAATTTATGGGCCTAACAATTGCATTTTTAGACTAAACACGTGTTGGATATTTAAGAAGTGTTATACACTCTTTTGTGATTTATATCCTGAAATACGCTAGAAGTGGAAGTGGAAGCAAAGGGTTGGTGAAATGCTTTAATCATTCAATTTAGCTGTACCAGGTACTTCTGGCCCTAAAGAACCCATCCTCAGCCCTCCTACCCTGACAATCCTTATTCACATTGCATCAGTTTCTACCTCCAGCTCCACATTAGATGTTTTCTAAAGCTGCAGGTTGAGTGAAGGGGGTGCCTGGGACCAATGCCCCTTTTGCTACAGATGGCTCCAGGCCACTTTGCATAAAACCAGAATAGGAGCACGGGTTTGCAAATTGAGTGAAATCCAGAGTGGGAGATCTAGACTGCAGTTCCTGGAGGGTAACATGAGAGAGGAAGGAAGGAAGCTCAGAACTAACATCTTCAGAGCATTTACTGCAGGCCAGACATATACCAAGCACTGCACGTCATCCCTGCAATCCTTTCAGTGGCACTTTGAAGTAGGTATCGTTATGCAAATGGTCTAGGGAATCAGAGAGGTTAAGCGACTTGCCCAATGTGAAACTGCTGATAAAAGGTAGAGCCGGGCTTGGTGGCCTGTTAGGTCTCTCCCAAAAGCTTGAATATTTTTCATGACACCACAGTAGCTCATTGGACACCCCAAAATAACCTTTTCATGCAGGGTTCTCTCTTGTGTCTTCCTACAGGTGCCAATGACCCAGGGTTCTCAAGGGCTGCCCCAGCAGTCATACCAACAGCCAATCATGCTACCTAACCAGGCAGGTCAAGGGTCACTCCCAGCCACCGGAATGCCTGTTTACTGTAATGTCACACCGCCGACCCCTCAGAACAACCTTAGGCTGATTGGCCCACACTGCCCCTCCAGCACTGTCCCCGTAATGTCAGCTAGCTGCAGGACAAACTGTGCGAGTATGAGCAACGCCGGGTGGCAGGTCAAATTCTGAGCACTCTGGCTGTGGTACATTTCTTCAGATGTTACTCACGGCCTTTAAGGGAAGAGGAGCAAGGTGGGAAAACTGGCCGAGGACTTAAGTATTCACTCAACACTCAAATGATTGCTGCTGGTATTCTGTAAAAAAAACAAAGACTAATACACACATTAGCTGGTTAATGGTGCATATTTCTGTCATGTCTGCTAGGTATGCCTTTATAGCTTAGCTAGTGACATGAATTCATCAAGGTAAGATTTTCTCCTACCACTGAATACCACTGTGTAGATTATAATATCCCTAATTTGGATTATTAGTTTTGTACTTTGTGTTGAGTTTGTGATGCTAAAGTATTTAAAAATTATATACTGAAATCACATTGTACCAAAGCTGTAATGGAAAAGAAAAGAATTGATGAATGGAAGGAATAATTTATATACACTATAGAGTTTTCTTTTTTTAATGGATATATACTGTATTGTAGTGTTTAATCAAAATAAAACTATTTGACCTTATGGAGGAAGGTCATGTTTTTACTACCAGTTTGGTTCACTCTCTCGTCAATATGTGTTTGCTTATGTGTCACTGTTATCCCCTTGGAGCCTATTTCATGAATAATGTGTGGAAAAGATGTTCCAGGTATTTGCAAGTAAACTGGCATCACACTGGGAGATGTGGTAGTCAAACACTTAACCAACTATAGTTTCTTGTCCTAATACTATAGGTGTCCTGGAAATAAGATGGCATCCATTTCACCCATTCATTGGCATCACATTTTTTGAAATGCACACTTTGGTTCTAGTTTTAAGGCTACTGAATGCATGTAGCTATACTTCCCCAATTAGGAAAACTTGAGTGTCTTGGTAAAAGCAGCCCTATACCAAACCCTGTTCCACTGTCATTCAAGTTCCACCATCTACCTGGAAAACAAGATTTCTTTGTTTAGAGGGAAATTAGAAGAGCCATGATCCAATTCCACCGATTATATTGGGTCATACAATGAAAAGTGCCACTGGTATTGACAGTGAGTCAATAACTCAAAGATGCTGTTTGTCCTAGTAACTTAAAAGAAGGTAAAATATGGCAATAATTTAGTCCCAAGGATTTAGAACATTGGCAAAAACATACAGAAGAAGACTGTTCCTGTCTAATCCCAAAATATTTAATCTCTTGCGGATTCTGAAGGTAAGATTGATTTATGACAACCTTTGAAAAATAATAACAGAACTTTAATAGATTTAGCCCTTCTGGGAGCTATTTAAAGGGAGAATAAAACCCCACAGGTTTCACTGTTACCACAGTACAATGACTAATAGTTTTGTATTTTATCTCTCCCTAAAAACTATTATTTTTATTTATTATTTTTTCTATTTTTTTTTCATATCCCAAATGAGAGGAATATGAAAAGTATATCTGGATAATTCCCATTGTTTTTCATATTATCACATTATCTGTGTTAGATTTTTCCATTTTCACATTCTTTAGCTGGAGAAAGAATTAAGCAACTAGTTAAAAACTCTACCTAACAGAGCACCGTTTCTTAATTTTATACTATAGTTTTCTTTTTCCTTTAAAAAGGAACTTTGACACTCTCATTAGCTTCCTTCCTTGGGAAGTCTGTCCCATTTCCACAAATCTCAGTCTATAGATTTCTTCATTGTAAATAAGCCCTAACCATGAAAAATATTATAAAAAGAGGAGTTGCATTTTTTTTATTGAGCCATTAAACCAATAGGCTGAGTAGCTATTAGATCAATAGCTGCTCTGAGAAGGAGCAATGTGTTTGCCTAATTAATACCTTCCCCTAATGAAAGGAGGGGGCTGACCAACATAGATTCATTTTTGAAATATATTCTCCGTTTAGACTTCTGATCTTGGCAGTGATCCCAAACTCAAGGATCCAAATACGAGTCCAAATCTTCTTTTCATGGAATTCTGGGAAATTTTGATCTTTTCTTTAATGATTCCTAGAATTACTGAGCCTTCTTTCCCATGGATTTGAAACATACATCATGCTAATGGTAAAGACAGAACTTCTTTCTCTTTGGCCACTTCTCCAAATGTGTCATACTCTTTCATATTTAGACATTTGACTTTTATTGCATACATCCCTTTGGGTACTGTTTCAGGCTGAGCCTTCTTCTCTACTTTCACTAAATATTGATATCCAGCATTACGTTATTCCAAATCTTACGATATGCTTACCATGTTTTACATTAGAATATTTGGGATAGTGGTATAGAGAGATAGTTATATTAGTGAAGCATTTCCAGAATTAATTTATTGTCCGAACTTTTATTGCATCCTTGAATATTTCCTAATTATCTGGCACTATTCAAAATGAGTACAAATAAATTTAAAGCACTTAGATTTATTCTTATAAGTTTTATCATACATTTGGTTGTTCTGTGATAGTTGGAACTAAATGTGATAACTAGGTACCAATGAATTTCAGCCACAATTATTTTATTGTTTTAATTTAGTTCCACAGGATGTGGGGTGGGATTGGAGTGTGTGTTATATAACATTATGGAAATTGAATTATGTAATTAATTACAAGTATGGTTGGAGGATTTAGAATAAAGTTACAAATCATCATAACAAAATAAGTGGGTACATATGAGCCAGAGCAGCTTTACAAGAGAGATTTGAAGGACAAAGCAAATACAATCAGAAAGAAAGAATGCTGCAGCAGAAATGGCTTTTGAGATATAATAAATACATATTTAGCCTCTGCTTCCACTTTTGCCAACAGCTAGAGTATGATGGGATGCTTTCATACTCCTGTCCTCCTGTCACCCGTATTCTGTAGACACAGGTACATACTGTGAACAGAGATGCAGGCCCACCCCTCGCCTGTGCCCTGGCACTTGCCATCACAGGCAACTTAATCACTTACAGACCAAAAGTATTGTAAATACCTCACCCTAAGGGCAGAGTTAAAACAAATCGTTTGCATTTTGTATCCAAGTAATTTATTAGAGTAGTAGTTTCTAAAATATTTTCCATGGAAGACTTTTTCCTTGGGATACTTATAGCTGTTGTATCAAAAAGACCATTCCAAGGACAACTATAATTGGGAGACAAAGTTAATGAAGGTTAAGCAATCTTTTTAAAAGCTGTCTGATTTCTGGAAACCTTTAATATATCACTTTATATTATGAATTTCCAAGAGGGAGGCAATATTTGCATAGCTTCTCAAACTTATTTGAACACAATATCCTTTTGTCACAGAATGCTATATCAAAAAGACTAATATCATGAGGAAAGTATATTTTTAAAAAATTATATTAGAAAGTCCTAAAACAAGAATACAAATATAGTTCTATTTCTATAGAAACCATGTTGTATATCAAAATGTAACATCACAATACTACTGCTAACCATGACATCTAGTAACTGCCCTAGTATTTCCTCCATGAATGTATGAGCCTGGAAGGTAATGCCATAGTGCCAATATTTCTGGACCAATTTTTTTTTGAATTCTTAATCATGAAGGATGTGATATTTATATCTGAAATTATAGTAACAGTCATATAGATATATGTAAATATAGTAACAGTCATATAGATCCTTTACACCTCTATATGAGTGTAAAAGAACATGAGTAATTTATGCATTCGTTTATTCAACAAGCTTTTATTGCATATGTACTAATTTCAAGACTTTGTGCCGTAGTCTGCGGATCCCCTACCTTTAGGAAGCTTATGAATTTTCAGAATAAATTATACCAGTATATAAATAGTTAACAATATAGGAAATTAGTCATGTGAAAAATACATGTAAAAATAGAATTTTAGAGAAGGAGCAGATGGCTTCTGGCTGTGGCTTTTGACCTGGGCCATGTTGGATAGATGGAATTTAGGCATGCAGACATGAGGGTGGGTGACTCACAACTCCAGTCAAGAGACATGCCTGAAGGAAAAAGAAAGAAACACAAGCAAACGGGAACATTATAATTCAAGTTGGTTGGAGTAGGAGGTAATTAGATAGAAGAAAGGGATAGGAGGAGTATTTAGAAATTCATGGCATGACTTTGAAAGCCAGGCAAAGAGTTAATAGGTAACCAGGGGCTTTTGACAATTTTTGAATGAAAGGTAATATGATCTCAGCCATGGTTCATAAAGAAGCGTGGGCCTCAAAAAGTAAGGATGGATTAGACTTGAAAAGGCTCTTCATTGAGAAACTGGAGATGAACACAATAGTTAAGCTTTGGCAGTGAGCTACGGCTACCACTAGCATTGCTGGGATAAGATAGAAATGAGTTCTAGCTCTTCACTCTTAACACTTAGCAATTCTATTGCATGCACAGCAAAGATATAGTGGTATATATCTTACTTTTCGCTCCTGGACAGAAACTTCTACATGTAAGTGCCCTGTCTTAAGCTGCATCAGAAGGCACAGTTACTATAACCTGTCAGAGTAAAACAAATGGAGACTGAGCTGAAATTGGAGACAGCATGGGAGAGCTGCCAAGTCTCCATGGTGATATATTCAGTATTGATACACAATATGCAGCGAAATCTGATTATCAACTTCCTATTCCCCCTTGTTTAAAACATGGTGAGAACACTTATCCACTATGGTTCAGAAAAAGATTTTTATTTTCTGTACCTTTATGGATGCCACTTCTACACAAGACCAGAAATCTTTGCTTCTTCCCATGTTATTTTGCCCAAAACTCTCTTTACGAAGAAAGTTGTTCTCTTTAGGGCTGTGGGATTATTTTCCAGTAGTTCTCAGCTTTAGTGTTTGTTTCAAGTTCAAATCTTTATCACCTGCTTTCTGTGGGGTTTTGCAACCTCCAAGCTTCTCTCCAAAAAGATTTGCCGCTATTATGTGTCATCAGTGGCAAGAGCTTCTCACTCTCTGAGCTGGGTTTTCTGCTGCTCCCAGCACTGTGTGCACAGCAGGAGTGAGAGGCATCCAATACTCTTCTTTTGTGGAGGAAAATCATTTCCTGATTGATGTCCTAACAGAGATCTGATTTTTCTACTGGGCATGGGGCTGCATGCTCTAAGACAATATTAACCAACTCCCTGACTACAGAAGCTCAGGGAATGCTTTGATGTTGGTGTTCGTTATTTGATTTGTTTCATTTTACTGCTTTATTCCATTTTACTCTCAGTGTGGGCATAAGACAGAGAAGGAA